GGAGGGGCACCTGGGTGGCTCAGTGGGTTAAGCCTCTGCCTTCGGCTCAGGTCATGATCTCAGGGTCCTGGGATTGAGCCCTGCATCGGGCTCTCTGCTCGGCGGTGAGCCTGCTTCCCCCTCTCTCTGCCTGCCTCTCTGCCTACCTGTGATCTCTCTCTCTCTCTGTCAAATAAATAAATAAAATCTTTAAAAAAAAAATACAATGAGATACCACCTCACACCAGTCAGAATGGCTAACATTAACAAGTCAGGAAACAACAAATGTTGGCAAAGATGCAGAGAAAGGGGAACCCCTCTACACTATTGGTGGATATGCAACCTGGTATAGTCAGTGTAGAAAACAGTATGAAGGTTCCTCAGAAAGTTGAAAATCGAGCTACCCTATGACCCAAAAATTGCACTGGTAGGGATTTACCTCAAAGATATAAATGAAGGGATCCAAGGGGCACCGGCACCCCAATGTTTATAGCAACACTGTCCACAATAGCCCAACTATGGGAAGAGCCCAGACATCCATTGACAGATGAATGGATAAAGAAGATGTGATATATATAGATAGGTATATCACATCTTCTTTATATATATATATATACATATATATATATACACACACACACATATTTTATATATATGTGTGTGTGTATATATATATATGTATATATATATATATATAAAATTTGGCCATTAAAAAGTGAAATCTTGCCATTTGCAACAACATGGATGGAACAAGAGGGTCTTATGCTAAGTGAAATTAGGCAATCAGCAAAAAACAATTATATGATTTCACTCATAGGTGGAATTTAAGAAACAAAACAGAAGAGCACAGAGGAAGGGAGGAAAAAAAAATAAGACAAAATCAGAGAGGGAGACAAACCATAAGCTACTCTTATCCATAGGAAACAAACCGAGGGTTGCTGAAGGGGAGGGAGGTAGAAGGATGGTGTAGTTGGGTAATGGGCATTAATGAGGGCACATGATATCATGAGCACTGGGTGTTATTTACAACTGATGGGTCACTGAACTCTACTTCTGAAACTAAGTATACTGTATGTTAATTAATTTGATTTAAATAAATTTTAAAAAGATGCCTCACAAATAAGGATGTCAGTGTGCCTAGGACAACAGGAGCAAGGTGGGAAGTAATGGGGAGAGTAGTATGAGATGAAGTTAGATGAATAATAGACAATATAGGCCATTGTAAGGTACTTGGCTTTTATTCCTAATTAAATGGGGGCTCATTAGAGTATTTTGAGTAGAAAGAAGACTTGATCAGACTTAACTTTTAAATTGATCACTTTGATGGCTTTGTTGAAGATGGATTTTGAGGTGGAAGGGAAGGGTAGAAGCCAGGAGACCAGTAAAGACACTATTGCACTATTGCACTAGAGATGACGTTAAAGGCTGACAGATTCAGCAAATAAAAATACAGGATACCCATTTAAATTTGAATTTCAGATAAACAGTAAACATTTTTAGTATCCATATATCCTAGATACTATGTGGAACACACAGAAAAAAAAAAGGAAAAAGAAAATCTATTTATTGTTTATTTGAAATTCAGATTTAAATATTGGAAAGAGCCCATATATTCATCAATTGTTGAATAGGTAAGCGTGTGGTATATATATACAATGGAGTATTACTCAGCCAAAAGGAAAGAAATCTTGCTATTTGCAACAACATGTATGGAACTAGAGGGTATTATGCTAAGGAAATTAAGTCCAAAAAAGACAAATACCATATGATTTCATTCATATGTAGAATTTAAGAAATAAAACAGATGAACATAGGGGAAGAGGAGGAAAAATAAAGTAAGATGAAAACAGAGAGGGAAGCAAACCATAAGGGACTCTTAACTATAGGAAACAAACTGAAGTTTGCTGGAGAGGAAGTGGGGGGATGGGGTAACTGGATTATCGGCATTAAGGAGCACACTATAATGAGCACTGTGTGTTGTATGCAACTGATGAGTCACTAAATTCTTCCTCTGAAACTAATAAAACAGTATATGTTAATTAAATTGAATTTAAATAAATTAATCTTAAAAAGGTGCTCAGATTTTGGATATATTTTGAAGGTGGCACAAATAGCATTTGATGATTGAGTAGATGTAAGATACAAGAGAAGGACAGTAGTATGATTTTAAGGTTCTTGTAAATTGAACAACTGGAAAGATACAAGTTGTTATTAACTGGAGTAGATAAGGCTGCAGGTCAATCAAACTTATAGGGATGAGCAGGAATTCAGGTTTTCGACATGCTGAACTCCTTTCTTTAAAGATTTATTTATTTATTTTAGAGAGAGAATGGGCAGGAGGAAGATGCAGAGGGAAGAAATCTCAAGCAGACTCCCTACTGAGCATGGAGTTTGATGTGGGGCTCAACCCCATGACCCTGAGGACATGACCGGAGCCGAAATTAAGAATTAGACACTTGGGGCGCCTGGGTGGCTCAGTGGGTTAAGCCTCTGCCTACGGCTCTGGTCATGATCTCAGGTCCTGGGATCAAGCCCCGCATAGGGCTCTCTGCTCAGCAGGGAGCCTGCTTCCTCCTCTCTGCCTACTTATCAAATAAATAAATAAAAATACTAAAAAAAAAAAAAAAAAGAATTAGATGCTTAACTGACTGAGCCACCAAGACACCCCTGCTTGGACATGTTGAACTCTTAAGTCCGGTGGTAGATTAATGATCATTCTTTTTATTGTCATGCATTATAACTTACATATATGTACCAAATACTCTGAAAGAAAATAAATAATAAAAATAATTTAAAACACTATCCTCATAAGAACAAATAATAAATAATAAATTATATTTATACTATATTATATAATATATAAGAAATAAATAATAAAATAAGTATAAATAAAAATAATAATAAATAATTTTAAAAAAGAAAGTGATCAAGGCCTTTTGAAGTTGTGACCTTGACTAATTAAAAAGCTACTTAAAGAAAAACTAAGCAAACTTATGTGTTTTTAAAAAGCTAGAAGACACTGTCCACCTCTGTATTGTCCTCAGGGCCTGGTATTATATATTTCTGTAGGAAGATTCTATATAAATTCTGAAGATAATCATGAGCATACTTATTTAAACTGTATATTATAGAACTAGTTTTTCTCTTTTTTTAGTGTTAAGACACGACCAGTGCGGATGCCTCCAGGATATCAAGCAGAGCTTGTTATTCAGTTGGTGTGGGTGGATGGTGAGCCTCCCCAACAGATTACTAGTCTTGCTGTAAGCTCAGCATATGGAATGTAAGTAGTTAAACATTCTAATTTGTATTATTTAATATATTTGACATACTTAGATGTTTCTTTTAAAATACCTAAGTCCTAAAAATAGGAAGAAACCCTTACTTAGATTTTAACTTGATTGAAAATGGTATAAGAATAATAATAATGTAAATAAAACCTATGATTATTTGTTCTTGCTTGAAGTCAAATTTGTGATAATATTCCCATTTTTAATGTTAGGAGGTTGTTAGGATGTTAATACACATACTTTTTTTGTTGATTTTCTATCCCTTTCCTCTTTGTGTTTCAACTTGGATACTTTCTTCTGACTTGTCTTTTAGAGTTCATGATTCTCTCTTCAACCATTTCTAATCTTACACTATATCTACCCATGGAGTTCAGTTTCAGTTATTTTTCAGTTCTATGCCTTTCATTTGGCCCTTTTTAAAGCTTTTTGTTATCTTCCTAAATTATTACTCTTGCCCTTCATTTCCTTGAACATGCTGAATATAGTTTCTTTAAATATGTGTTTGATAATTCCCTATGTGGTATCTAGTTTATTATTTGTCTTGGGTTTTGATCATATTATCTTCATGTATCCCAGATTTGCTTTCTGGTTTTGTTTCTAATTTTTTCATGGAACATTATATGAATTTATATAACATCATATAAATAAATAATAAATAAATATTATAAAGATGATTTCAGGTTCTAAGTGATGTTATTATCTTCTGAAAAGTATTCACATTTCCTCTAACAGGCTAAACTAAGAGGAAATTGAAAGCTGAGAACAACATAATCCAGTCAGATATTCTTTGAAATTGGGTTGTATTCCGTTTAAAAGCTAATTTAATCGTAATTAATCATTATTTCTAGATTGTAGTCCTCCATAGAAGTTGTGCCAAATTATACTCCCACCAACAGTGTTTTAAGAATGCCTGATCTGGGCACCTGGGTGGCTCAGTGGGTTAAGCCTCTGCCTTCGGCTCAGGTCATGATCTCAGGGTCCTGGGATCGAGTCCCGCATCGGGCTCTCCGCTCAGCGGAGAACCTGCTTACTCCTCTCTCTCTCTCTCTGCCTGCCTCTCTGCCTACTTGTGATCTCTCTCTGTGAAATAAATAAAATCTTTAAAAAAAAAAAAAAAAAAAAAAAAAAAGAATGCCTGATCTTCCATTACCTTTTTAACAATGGTGTATAACCAAACATTTTCTTAAGAAGTATATAAGTAGAATTTTCTCATATCTTAAGTGAATTTGAACATATTTTTCTATACTATTGACACTTCTTTTTATAGTCTTTGTCCATTTTTCTGCATAGTTGTTGGTATTTCTCTTACAGGTTTGTGAAAACTATTTACAAAGTAGGAAAGTTAGTTTTCTATGTGATGTAACTTGCCAGTATTTTCCCTGCTTTTGTTTATGAGGATGTTTAGGATGTTTTTTTCCATGCATAAATTTAAAAAAAATTTTTTTAAATAACTCTATTTTTATGGCTCTGGATTTTGTGTAATACTTAGAAAAGCTTTCCTCCCTTTTTATATTCTCTTTTAATATATTTATTTTTTAAATATTTAAGTATTTCTTCTACCTAGGATTTATTTATGTATAAGGTATGAAATAGGGATTAAACTTTCTTTCCACATGATTAAGAGTTGCAGCCAACACCACTTCCTGAATACTTCATCTTTTTCCTCAAAATTTGGTATCTTTTATCAAATAATACATTTTTAAAAATATATTTGGCTCTACTTCTATACTTACTAGTCTTCCCCTAAGCTAAGTCTAATGGTGAATATACATAAGGGGCACTTGTTCTTAACTGAAAACTTGTTTGGTAAGAAAACTGACAGAAACAGCCCTTTAATGAATGGTGGAAAGGATGGAAGTGTAGGACAGTCAATAATCCCATTATTTGATACAGCAAGAATACATGTTTACAAGAATATAGTCCAAGTAGTTATGGCCAATGACTGACCTCAAGCTATTTTCAGGGTTCTGTACTCAAAAGATTGGCCTATAAAGGCAGGGAATGATAAAATTAAGAGGCTAGGAAAGTATATCACCAGGTTCAGAAGCTGAAAGTTGTTTAGAATACATTAGAGAGCATATTTTCAACATAAAATAACTGGGAGTGACAGTCACCATAGAACCTCTGAAGAACCAATCTTACATGAGAAAGACAGCTTGGACACCTTTCTCATAGACAGTTTGGACCACCAAAAAACTCCAGCTTAAGTGGCTACTTATATACATCCCAGCAAAATTTTAAGAAATAAATAATACCAATATTACATAAAATCTTTCTGAGAATTGAGAAAGAAAATGTCATATTCATCTCTTTATGGGCCAGCATAATCTGATGCCAAAATTTAAAGAGACCATTACTAAAAGTGCAACATTAATATAGGTGTAAAAATCCCAGCCAAAATATAAATAAATCTAGTAATAAAATAATTACATATTACAATCATATTTGGCTTATGCCAGGAATGCAAGGCTTTTTTAACATTTGAAATGAATTGATGCAATTCATCACATTAAAGGATAAAATAGAAAACCATATAAGTGAGCCATGAAATGCAAAAAGCAAAAACATTTGGTAAAATTTATAATCTATTGATGATTTAAAAAGAAAAATTAACTATAACAAGAAGGAAATTTCATTAACCTGATACATGGCAGCAAATATCAGTCATACCTCATAGTAAAATGTTGAAAGGTTTACCTCTGAGATAAAAACAGGACAAGGATAACTGCTATCACCACCTCTATTCACAGTGTACTGTAAATCTTAGCCAGACCAGTACAGAAAGGAAAATAAATCAAAGTTACATAGATTAGAAAAAAAGAAATGGAAAGAAATGATTATTTATATAAATAATTTAAATACTTTACAGATAAATTATTAGAATTACTAATAATTTTAATAAGATTGCTGGGTATGAAGTCAATGTAAAAATAAATTACATTTCCATACACTGAAAAAAAATAGAAACTAAAATTGTATAAAGATTCCACTTATGGGCACCTGGGTGGCTCAGTGGGTTAAGCTGCTGCCTTCAGTTCAGGTGATGATCTCAGGGTCCTGGGATCAAGTCCCGCATCAGGCTCTCTGCTCGGCAGGGAGCCTGCTTCCCTCTCTCTCTGCCTGCCTCTCTGTCTACTTGTGATCTCTCTCTGTCAAATAAATAAATAAAATCTTTAAAAAAAAAAAAGATTCCACTTATAATAAAATAAAAATAATAAGATACCTAGGACTATACCTAATAAACAATGATCAAGACCTCTACACAGAAAACTACAAAACTTAAGAGAAATTAAAGAAGCTAAATCATGGAATATAAAATTCAGTAATAGCTCAAAGATATTGGGTTTTCACAAAATGATCTATAGATTTACCACAATGCCAATACAAACTTTAGCAGGGTTTTTTCCCCTGGAAGTTTAAAACTCGTTCTAAAATGTAGAGAATTGCAAAGGACCACACTAGCTAAGACAGTACTAAAGAAAAACAGAATTAGAAGATTGCTCTATTGGAAAACAAAATTAAATAAAGATATATTAGTTATGACAGTGTTTTTATTGGCACATGGGAGCTAGAAAAAAAGACCAATGCACAGAAGAAAGAGTGCAGAAAGAGATCCAGGCATTTAGCCAAATTGGTTCTGGAGAGCAATAGAGGAAATGACAGGTTTCCCCCCAATAAATACTACAAAGCCAATTGAAAAATTATATAGAAAAACTGAAATTTGACTCTTCTTTCTGACTATACACAAAGATTCTAGGAGGTATTATAGGAGAATATCTCATTACACTTGTGTTAAGAAAATATTTCTTCAACAATATTCAAAAAGTATTAACCATAAAGAAAAACATTAAGAACATCTTAGAAAAAAAGGGCATCATTAAGAGAGTGAAATGGCAGGACAGAAAGAGATATTTGGATTAATTGTACCTGACAGCAGACTCATTCATATGCAGAGTGTGAAAAGAGTCTCATGAATCATCAATAAGGAAAACTTAAATAATAGAAAAAATGCAGAAGAAATTTGAGTATGTCAGGAAGAAAGATACATAAATGGCAAATATATTATCATATATATATGAAAAGGTACACAACCCCATTAGTAATGTTGGTAGAGTTTACAAAGACACTGGGTAGCAGGAACTCTCATACATTTCTGTTAAGAGGATAAATTGTCAAATCTCCTTTATAAAATTGTTAGCATTATTTACTCCATCTTAGCATACAATATGTTGGCATACACTGCAACCCAAAAGTTTCATTTCTGGGTATATACCCAATGAAAAGCAAGCACATGTGTTTCAAAAGACAGTAGCATTATTTGCAATAGCAATATTATATCCTAATAGCCCCAAACTATAATAAAATATGTCCATCAGAGTAGATTAAATAAATTATTAACATATCCATTTGAATTCTACAGCAATTAAAGTGAAAAACTACATTTACATGTAACAATATATATGAAAAAAGCAAAACATCTATCATAAACAAGGAAAACTGGTGTAGAAAGTCAGATTTGGGGAGAGAAAAGAAAAGAAATAATTGGCAGAAGCATGAGGCAGCTGTTTGTAACATACTATTTCTTGACATAGTGGTGGTTATGTGGGATTGTTCACTTTATGATAATTCACTCAAGTGTACAATTATGTATACTTTATGAATGTTTCACTTGAATAAAAAATTAAAATATAAGATTTTTGCAAATTGAGTAATTTCATTTCTAGAAATTTATCTCATAACTATGCTCATATTCCATATTCCATTAGTGCAAGTAACTTATAAAGACTATTGATTATTGTATTGTTAATAACAAAAAACTGGAAGCAACCTATTGTCCATTAATAAAATTCTAGGTAAATAAATCAGATTGCACATAAATATTGTGGAGTTATTTTAAAAAGTTCATGTCCTATGAATTTACATAGAATAATTACCAAGAGATCTAATAAAGTTAAAAAAAATAAAGGTACAGGATATTATTTATACTATGCAA